ACCCTGAAGCACAAGTTCAGGTAGTTGTGAGCCATCTGATTGGGCACTGGGATCTGAACTCAGGTCCTCTGCAGGAACACAAGTGCTGTCACCTGGTGGGTCATCTCTCCAGCCTTGCAGTAGTCCTTCCTCCAGACATGGTTGTGTTAATGAGTACTAAAGGGAGACTTGCCTCTTTGTGGTCATTCTTAATTGTTCTCTAACTATGTGAGCTGCTGCCCCTGTGTGAAGCTTACCACATTTTTTATATATTTGCAGTGCATCATAATTGAGGAAAAATGATGGAAGAAAGTGGAATAGAGACAACTCCACCTGGAACCCCTCCCCTGAACCCTGCAGGCCTGGCTGCCGTTCTCACTACACTTTGATGTTCTCTGTGGTGGGTTGGAGGTTGGGGAAGACACTGGTCTCTCTGAATCAATTAGAAGAATATGTCGTTAATGCTTCTCTAATCTTGTCAGGGTGCAAAGAAATAGCCCTTTTAAATGTAAACAACAACACAGAAATAACCTTGCTTGTTACAAGTAAGGAAGTGTAATGTCTTGCTGTTAGCAGGTTTGCTCTCTCTGTTCATATTCACTACAAACCCTCCTGGCAAGCTTTCAAAGCATTTGTTGTCTGTTGTTTTTTGACTGTGGGGATTAATCTTTTTGAGGTATTAGTGGTCTAGGTTTTTATGTTCAAATCAGGGATGAAAAATGACCTTGTCTAAGAACAAATGGAAAGGGAGGTTTGCTCTCGGGCAGTGCTGTCTTTGAGTTGTGCTATTTCTCCAGTGGAATCACAGGGTCTGTACTCATGTACAATTGCTATGCGCTGGAAATTACACCTTTAAAATTAATTACTAAGATTTGGCTTACCACATTAGGAATTTCCCAAGCAGTGGAAGTTTGAAAATGAGATAAAAAGCTTTTTCAACTTTGTGTGTTTATCCCCCTTACTTTTTTTTTTTTTTTTCTAGCTGCAACCAGTTCCTTCTCATCTCCCAATGTGTCCAGGATGGAGTCCTTGCCACCACATGCGTATTCTACACCTCAGCCATCCCTGCCCCCTGTGCAGCCGTCAGCACCGCCTCCTTTTGTGCCAATGTCAAGGTCTATAGCTCCCTCGGTTCCCCTGAGTGGCACTTCAATGCCCCCCTCTGTGTCTTCATCACCTGGCACTGCCTTCAGCAGCCCACCTCTATCCCACTTCCCACCTGCAACTTCCGCCTCCGGTGCTTTTTTATCTGCACCACCTGCAGGTCCTCCTATATCGGGGTTTTCTGTTGGTACAGCTTATGATATCACGAGGGGCCACGCTGGGAGAGCACCCCAGACACCTTTGATGCCATCGTTTTCTGCACCTCCAGTCACAGGTGATCTTCTCTTACTGTTCCGCAGTACTCGGCAGTATTTGACATTTTATTACTGTGTGCCTGAATTATGTTGCACTGTGGTTTGTATATTAGACAGTGATTTGAGGTGGACAGTGTCGTACTTACTTTAGTTTCTGTATAGACTTTGACCATCTGCTGCTCCTAGGGCTTCGATTTCTCCACATTAATTTTCTAGTCTTACTCTGAATTCCAGTGTTTCCCATGCTCATCTCTTTGCCATTTAAGTTATTAACAATAAAGCTAATGTAACTTATTGTATAGTTTTTGGGCGGTATAAAAATTGATGCATGATTGACATTTGAGGTATGAGAAAGAATTCCCATATCCCCTATCATGTGTTTATCTGTGTAAACCTATGTAAGGGGGGAAATACCTTTTGAGTGATTTTTACATTTGTGTTTATAAAGGTTTGAGTTGATAATTTTATCTTTAGATGCTTAAGTAGTTCTGTGATTGAATTTGTTTTGAGCGTCTCATATGATACATCTTTTTATAGGAAAACATTTGTGGAATAAGTTACCCAATCAAATTTGTGCTCTTGACTAGGTATTTTGCCAGCCCCCATCACAAAAAAAGCCAGTATGACTTCGCTGGCACAGGGACCTGGAGCCACCCCAGCCATTACTTTCCCAGAGGAACAGGAAGATCCTAGAATTACTAGAAGCCAGGATGATGCACCTACTGGTGGGATCTGGGGTTTTATCAAGGTAAGGGTGTTTGCCTTTCAAGTTACTATTCTAATTGTAAAACTGACAGGGATCAATTAGAGAAACACAGCATAGGGAGGGAACACAATGTATAGAGTAAGGGAAAGCAAGCCCTTTATGGACAGATTTCTGTAGTTGGTGCTTGCTCATTGTGCATCTCTATACACATGTACTTGTTCTCTTAATTAGAATCCAGTTGGATTAGTGACATGGGTATTGTGTTCTTTGTCTTTTCTAGAAGACTTCATTAATGTCCTTCCAGCTGTAAAATTGTCTGTCTGTCTTAGTTTCTTGTGTATTTGGGGTCTGTGTATGTCTATATGGATTAATGTGTTCAAGGGTGTGTGTGTGTGTGTGTGTGTGTGTGTGTGTGTGTGTGCGTGTGTTGTGAATGTGGAGGCCACCATAAGGGGTCTTCTTCTGTTTACCACATTACTTTTTGGGGACAGGATCTGTCACTGAATTTGGAATCCATCCATTCAGCTGGGATGGCTTGCCAGTGAGCTCCAAGGATCCTCTCACCTGTGCTCCAGCCCACTGGTAGGGCATTAAGACATGTGCTGGAGTGCTGTGCTTTCTAAATGGGTGCTGGGACCCGAACTCAGGTCCTTATGCATCTCTCAGCTCTAAACCTTCTTCCTTTAGAATGTATTTCTTAATAACTACTTTGTCATCGATGCTGTTGCATTTATCATGTTTTATTTTACAAATCCGTTATCAGTATTATCTACTTGTAAGTTTTTAAATCATTTTTCTCTAATTGAGAAAAATGTGTAAACATATACACTTTTGTTCTTGTTGTTTGGGTAGTATTGAGGACTGAACCTGCGGCCTTACGTATACTGGTAAGTACTTCATTGCTAGCCTGATCCCAGCTCTCTTTTCACTCTTAGGAAGAGTCTCATCAATATGCCTTGGAGCTCACTCGGTATCCTGGGCTGACCTGAAGTTTGCAGTCCTCCTGCCTCAGGCTGGCTTGTGACAGGATCGCAAACCTGCACCCTTAGGCCTGATTAACATGATGCAGCCACTGAGCTGTACAGTGCTCCCTTCTGATTTTAATTGTTATAAATTAAACTAATGAGCCATCTTGTATGTGCACCCTGATGGGCAACTGTGACATTATTAGTTCCTGATGAAAGTCCTAGTGAGTGCCGTAGAACTTTCTGAATACGGCTTTCCAGTAGCCACAGCAGTATATGTTGTTCTGTCATTGTTCCCATAGCAGCAGAGGGTGTTACACTAGAAACCTTTTTTGGTGTGTGTGTGTGTGTGTGTGTGTGTAGGCCCAGAGTTGATAACACAGTGTCTTTATGAGTGGCCTCCACTTTATATATTGAGGTCTGCTTTCTTGCTGTACCAAGGGAGGTTTGGACTAGTCTGGCTTGCCAGCTTGCTCCGACTCTCCATCCTGAGCACTTGTATGCATATGGCCACCACACCCAATGAGTTTTTTGTGTGGGCTCTGGGGATCCCGACTCTGGTCCTCATGTGATACAAGAGCTTTACCTTATAAGCCAAACCCCCAAACTTGAAACCATGTTTTAATTTTCTTTTCTTTGCTATTAAATTTGGCCCTTTTTCACCCATGAAATTGTCTTCTATATTCTTTGTTCATCTTTGCCCAATTTGAAGTTGGGAGGTTTGCTTTACTAAGTGAGTTTATTAAGAGCTCTAGCTACAGCAATGCTTTTTTTTAATGTACACACTATGGCCTTTTCCATTTTAATCTGCATTTTAATTTATTATGCTTTTTAACACTAAAGTTCTTAGGTGTTCTGAGTCATTTCTGTGGATCTCTTTCAGTTCTGTATGCTGAAAGAGTACCTTTGCATTCCAGCTAGGGTTTTTAACCATTTCAGTTTTCACCCTGAGCAGTTCAGTGTAGCTGGTGTGTTTCAACACACACCATGTAAGATAGAGGAATTTAAGCATTTTCCAGCCTCTTAATGGAGTATTTTGAGGTCATTCTCTCAGCAACCTGATGTCCCCTTATTTTATTTACTAAATTACACATTAGTGCCAATCTCTGGGTTTGTCTTCTCTGCCATTGAACCTGTCTCTATAATAGAACACCATCTAAACTGCAGCTAGGCGTGGTATTTCCACTGATGGGTACTGAAAGCATGCTGTGCGCTCAGGTGGGTGTGTGGAGCATTCTATGATGAAAAGGGGAGTGTGGATTAGCAAGATGCAGCAGTATTCAGTGCTGTGAGCCCTGGGTCCAGTGCTGTGAGCCTCTGGTTCCGGGTTCTGGTGCTGTGAGCCACTGCTGGTTCCTCTTGAGGTTTGCTTTGCTGGTCTTCCCCACATTTTTCTTAAGAAAAAAGAATTTTGAACTCATTCTGCTAACTTCCAGTGTTCTGCTAAGAAGCTGTTCACTTTCATTGTATACATTAAGCATAGTTTTAAACTAAGAGGTTGATGTGGTCATCTACAGCCTTCTTCCTACTTTGTAAAGAGAAAGCTGGTTGCTAGTTGTAATAGCCAGTTCAACTCTCTGGGACTTGTCAAGCAGTAACTTACACTTTTTTTTTCTGTTTAGTTTTTTTATTAAATCAGTCAAAGTGACATATTTTTACACAGTATGAACAAATATTCTGTGACATTTCCCCCCTTTTGTCTAAATAAAAAAGAAAGATTTTAACTCTAACATACTAAACCTATAAACAATAAGAACAATTATCAGATAAGAATTATATTCACAATGTCCAGTCCAAGTAACTTACATTCTTATCTTGGTGTTGCCTGGCAGTTTTAAACTTAATCCTTTTGAACTCACCTGTCCTCAGTCATCTTGGTGAATTGGAAGGAGGGAATCTCAGTCTGTTGGATGCCCCTAGGGGCGCTCTCCCCTTTACTTTGGAAGAGAGGTGTGTAAGAAGGAAAGCTGGAGAGCTCTGGGGTGGAAAGCTCCTGGTGCTGTTGGTCTGAAGACTCAAGAAGGGAGAGCTGCCTAAGGGAGAGGGTTTGAGGTGGGTAGACAAGAAAGGGAGCTTGAGTAAAACATGCGAAGGACAGAGTTATGCTTTAAAGCAATCAGGAGCTTTCTGGGGGATAAAGGTGAGCAGTATTTTTACTGCCTTTATCTTTTTATCTTTTTAGGGACAAAGTATGGACTTATATAGACACATGGTTATAGTCCTTATTTGGGACAATAACTGAGGGACAGGTTTCCCCTATAAATGTATTTATAACTGAAACACACTTTTCAGACTAACAATTTTCAAACAGTGCTATTCCAGAATCCTCCACAGGCTGCCGCTGGCCTACTTTCTGTGTATAAAGGGAAGAAGCCAAGAGCACCATTGGATAGTAGTAGGAATTTGACATCTATTGACCTCATTTTAATTATAGATTCCAAAAGTACCATTTTTCCATTTTTTTGGAAGTAGTGGTCCACCAATGCCTGGGAAAGTTAAGAAGTTTCCTGTGTAGGTCTCGCAGGTAACCTCAGCTGTTGTGAGCTCACGATTGCAGTAAGAGTCCATGTTTGGGGGCACTGTTTCCTAGCATTCTTCCCCATCCTTTGGCTTTCACAATTTTTCCACCTCCTGTTCTGTGATGTCCCCTGATCCTTGGTTGTAGTGTGGTTAATATAGGTGTTGCATTTAGGGCTGAGCACTTGTGTCTTATTTGGAGTGCTGTGACCAGCTCTGCATGTCTTTGGTGGCAAACATTTAAGCATAGATGAGGTAAATCATCTCTAGGCACTACGTTGTAGTGAGGAGCCCTTGACAGGGAAAAGTTGCTGAGGGAGGGGAATCTGTACTCTTTAGGAGGTGACTGCTGGTAAGCTTCCTGTGCTCCAGGGGATGTCCCCACATCCGTATACACATAGGCAGCACTAACTGGGCTTAGTTGATTACAAAGAAAAGACATGATGTTGGGAGGGCTGTGTTTCGACATGGGGGAAATTGGAGAGGGAAATGGGGTAGTATAACCATACTTAATTGTTTTCATGTATGAAATTCTCAAAAAGAAAGTTTTAAAAAGTTCTTTCATGCTTAGGAAAGTCAAGGTGTTCTTTGCTTGAACTGAATATTTTCATCTTGCTTTGTGCAGGGTGTGGCTGGGAATCCTATGGTGAGATCTGTGCTTGATAAGACCAAGCATTCAGTAGAGAGCATGATTACGACGCTGGACCCTGGCATGGCTCCATACATCAGTATGTAGATAAGTGAGCCTACTGTTGGCCGTGCTTCTAAGGTGTTCGTCATGTCATACAGTTGTAGTTTCAGTTCATTTCTGCTGGTCATGTAATTGATAGAAATTCTTCCAGTGCTCTTAATTCAAATTCATTCTCAATCTGAGTTTTGGTGTACCTAATTTATCTTTCTTAGTCATCATTATAAGTTTTGGTGTAGCTAATTTATCTTTTTCTTAGTCATCATTATATAAGTTTTAGGACTTCATAGTACGAACTTTAGAAGAGGGAGTAATTTGGTAGTAAATTTTATATATTTTAGTGGTTTATATGGATTTTTCTTTATTTGCTGTTAGGTTTCAAGTCATATTTTGTTTATACTTAATTTTGGCAATTTCTCTAGTTAAGTATTTTAATCAAATGTGGTGTTTATGCTTAATCAACAGTAATATTTTTAGAGAAAGTTAAAATCTAGCAGTTAATAAAATTTGATTATAAGTTTTCTGGGAACATGGTTTTAACTGCTTTTGAGCCCTCATCAGATATCCTTAGACAGTTGACATAGTTATATTGCTCCTTAATTTTCATGTCCATTTCTAATATGTAAACAATAGGGATTAGCTAGATCAACACCAGTCAATAATCCTATAAATCCTTCGAATGCAAGGGAGGTTGGTAATTGGGTTCCAAGCACATATTGGAATAGCATGCTCTGAGCTAAGAGGATGGGAATGTGTGTGGTTGTATCAGATGGTGTGATAAAAAGAGGATTTGTGTCCGATTTGTGTGCTTAGCTGCTGTGTTATGGTGGGTCAGGTTCTGTCAGCCTAGCTCACATGTAAGAGGCTGGTAACAATTAGTGAATACAGTGTAAGCCTATGGTGTGGTAGTAATTACTAGAAAGTGACAGCTTACATTTGGAATTGAAATTCTTTTTGGTTTCTGTAGAATCTGGAGGTGAACTGGATATTGTTGTAACCTCAAATAAAGAAGTGAAAGTGGCTGCTGTCCGAGATGCCTTCCAGGAGGTCTTTGGCTTAGCTGTGGTTGTGGGGGAAGCTGGACAGTCCAATATTGCCCCACAGCCAGTAGGCTATGCAGCGGGATTAAAGGTGAGTAATAAAAGCTTTTCTGGAGTAAAAGGGACTTGTAGTTCATTTGCCCGTAATTGTGATAACTATCCTGTGGTCTGTAAGAAACTACTGCATATTTAGATACTGAAATACCAGCTTTGTCATTAGTTAGCCAACACTGTCATGCTGTGAAGATAGAAAGGCGTTGTAATTGAATAAAATCTCAATTAGGTTTTGGTTATTGGAGGAGAATGGCAGTGTCATTAAGAAAGAACAAAAAGAACAGATGTTCTTGAAAGGAATCATCATGTAATATTGATTTTCAAGTCAATTATTGAAATTATAATATCTGTTGGGTCCCAGTAGACACACACACACACACACACACACACACACACACACACACACATAAAGAAATACATTGTTTCAAAGTCACAATCATGCAAGAACAAATGAAGTTGATGGCAATCAAACATTTTCCTTTCCTAAAGCAAGGAAAGCAAATTCTTTGACCTCATTTTCCCTGTATTGTTCTTTGACCTCTCTTCCCATATATTATTCTACCATGCTTACTTCCTTCTGCAGTAAAACTTCTGTAAGAATTTTGAATGTTTTTCTCTAATTCTTTATGGTTTCCCAACTGCCTAGCCACACTTCTATACTTCCCTATCCTAATAAGAGAGCACTCAAAGCCACCAATAAAAGGCTTGCTGTTTATTCGGTTGATCAGGGGCTTTCCAGGCAGCTGGTCATCCTCTCTGTTGTTTAGATAGAGTTTCCGATAGGCTGACCTCAGACTTGCTCTGGAGCCAACACTGGCCTTGAACTCCTGATCCTGCATCCACCTCCAGAGTTCTGGGATTATAGGTGTGCAGCACTAAGTCTGACTTTTACTTTAGTATGTTTTTCTCCCTTTTGGCTTTTTGGGTGCACACCTGGATTTTTTCTGAGTTCATATATTGTTCTTTGCTTTTGTGCTTCTCCTGTTGGTCTCTCCTTTTCTCCCCAGCTTCCTCTTGCTCTCCATGTCCTCTTTTGCTGACCTCATGTTGTTCCTGGCCTTAGCCAGCATCTTATGCTAACATTTAGAGCTTCATATTGCCACTGAGACTGCTCATGAATTCTTAATACATGTAAAAGTTGCCTTTTTGACCACTACTTGAATATTCCGAGCTAGTATGTCTAGAATTAACCTTTTTCTTTCTCTTATACTTAGTCCCTACTTCATCTCAGTCAATGGCAGTCCCTTCCTTCCATTTTCTCAGATGAGAAAACTTGACACCAGCTAGAGAGACTCCTCTTGTTTCTTTATTCTGTCTTGTTTGCAAGACAGACTCAAGTTTGCTGTGGTTTTTTTTTTTTTTTTTTTTTTTTTTTTTTTTCTCTTCGAGGTTGTTGCCATACACCATATTAGTGAGTATGGTACTCTTGCTACCAAGGGAAAAAGAATTAGGTCCTTGTAGGCTTCTAACTACAATGCTTTTTGGCCAGGCTGTCAATGTAGAGGTTGTGTGTGGGGGGTTTGTTTGTTTTGTTTTGTTTTTTTGTTTGACTCTATTTCCATACTGCTTTATATGTTCAAATAGATATTGGTATGTATATCCATTATAGTAAAGTCATAGCCAGCAGTCCTGTAACTCCTGATTGGGGGGTGCAGCTTATTTAGCACACACACATTTTCCTCCTCAAGTATTTCAGAACCCTGCTATGCTTAGCAACCTCACACAGCTCTTCAGCCTTAGATTTGGGACTGATTGAAATGGTGGCAACTTTTAACAACTCAGACATGTCGCAGGTGACACCAAATACACCAGCGCCTACTTGTTTCAACGTATGACCTTAAACAAGATGGCAGTGGCATTTGTTTGACCTGGCTGGAGATGTACAGGACAGACAACTTTAATTATTTTGTAATTTTGTGCACATCTGATGTTGAGATTACCAATAAATTTTAGTAAATAGTCAAATTCCCTATTACAGATTACAGTATTATTGAGGATCAACTGTATTTACATGTAATGTTTCCTTTGACTTTGACACCAGTGTGTGTTTATTAAAAAGGTGTTTATGCCATATGATAAAGCTAACTGCTGTCTGTAGAGTTTGAATTTGGTCTAATCTAGAAATGAACATGGTAAATTGGAAAAATAAATATGTACCCACTATAACTGTAACCCTTACGATAAATCACAAGTGTTATATGGATGAGTGTTGTTTAAAAGGTGGGAACAAATCTATTGCTTGGATCAAGTCTCTACTTGTCATGTGAAGACTGGCTTTTGCCATTGTTTGATTTTTCACATGGCAAGTTCTTACTGAATACTTGTTTGCTTACACCTAATGCCTAGCCTAGGAGATAAAATTGATCCAAAAGCAGACAGACAGCATTCACTCTGCTGTGGAATCTATCAGTGTTCTTCTTTGGTGTCCACCTCTCAAGTGCTGGGATGCAGGCCCACTACCCAACATTTACCCTTTGAATATTTTATCACATCATTTGTCATCACTCTTCATGAGATGATTCGGGTGACATACAGCAGCAACCCTCCTAACCTGGCAATGGCTTCTTACTCTCAGATGCACACCCTTAGAACTTTGAGTCCTTTGTGCAGGTTTCTCAAACCCTGTTTGGATTCCTCAATGTACCACATACATGTAACTTTTTCTTGCAGTAGTGTTCATGTTGCTGCCTGTGTATTTAAAAGGGCATTAGAAAAACTGGGAAGACACATGTTCATTGTAGGTATGATCACAAGCCCAAAGTCAAGAGCAAATCAACCAAGCAGATAGCAGGGCTGAAAAAGTTTTTATTCTAGAAATGACCTCTTGCTAAATGAACACTTAAAAATAAGGCTTCCTTACATGACTAGTCAATTAGAGATTATAATTTTAAAATAATTATTAAATAAATTAAATACAGTACTGCATGAGGGAATAATTTGGAAAATATACTCTAAATTTAATACCAAGGGAGGGCCATTGGATATTTTTACTCTAGACCAGTGGTTCTTAACCTTCCTAATGCTTTGACCCTTTAATACACTTCTTCATTTATGGTGACCCCAACAGTAAATTGTTTTTGTTGCTACCTCAGAACTGTCACTTTGCTACTGTTAAGAATGGCAATGTAAATTTCTTTGTTTTCCATTGGTCTTAGGTAACCCCTGTGAAAGCGTCTTTTGACTCCCAAAGGAGTTGCGACCTATATGTTAAGAATCACTGCGCTATATCTTTGTATTGTTTGAATGCTTACAGTGAGTGTATATGTTAAATATGTGCATGTATTATATAACTAAGAATCAGTATACTTACTTTAAATACTGTTTTAAAAAACTGTTTTCCAACCTGTGCTGCTTTTGCTTAGGGTGCCCAGGAACGGATAGATAGCCTGCGGAGGTCTGGCACTATCCACGAGAAACAAACTGCTGTGTCAGTAGAAAACTTCATCGCTGAGCTGCTGCCTGACAAGTAAGAGGTTCAGGGTACCCTGGGAATCAACACAGGGCTGTGTGTGGAGTTCACACGAACACCTAGAAGAGGTGTCTTCTGTTTTAAAGCCAGAGTGGAGTGTCTGGTCTCGTGGTGTGACTCGAGTGCTTAGCTGACACTTCCATCCTCTCTTTCCTTTTGTAACTGAGCAGTGCAGAGCGATGTCTGTGCTGACAACCACTTGATACAACAGGACCGAATGTAAGCAATACACTGCACGTTAGCTTGGGTAGGTGTGATGGAACACTGGGAGTAAGCACACTGCTTCCTCTGGTGACTCACAGAGGTGGAAGGTGGGCAAGAAGACTTGATGGTACTTAAAAGGAGTTACACAGGGCTGTGTGCTTAGCTTTAAAACGCCTCTGGAAATCACAGTTCAGCATTGTTTTTGAGGGCTCCATGGCTTTATGTTTTTAATAGATTTTTTTTTTTAAATGGGAAAACCTGTTTAGATATGCTGAGTTACTTTATGCTGGGAAATGGAACTGCCTTGGAACCACAGTCCATCGTGTTCCTCTCACCTTGCTTATATTCAGAAAGGAAAGATGGAGATCCCTAGAGATCAAAAGTGATCAGCTGAGATTCTCCCCACCCCTGGCCTGGTTGTGATCCTGTGGAAGGACTTTATGAGAAGGAGGGAAAGCTGAAAGTTCCCTCAGTCAGCAGGACCAGGGACTGAAATGGAAGGGCCTTGGGCACATGGCAGTGATTGCAGGTTCACAGAGAAGGAAATGGGGAAGCGGGTTCTAGGTTGCAGTCTCTGGTGGAGGTTGTGCTTCTTAGAACTGAGGTTGACTGGAGATCCGATGTATGCTGGTGGTAGAGAGACTGCCGTGTCTTTAGGGCAACCTCTCAGGATGCAAAGGTTCATGCTTCCAGTTGAGTCAGTGCAATACCCTGATGGACACTGTGCTCACAGGCAAAATCAGCCAAAACAAGGTTTAGCTGAGCTTGGCTACACTTTCTTGAATGAGAAACTTTGTTAAACTATGAGAGTTTGATTAGTAGGCAAGTAGAATAAATATTCAGTATTTGTGAGTTGAAACATTTTTAAGATATGAATGCTAAAGACATTATAAAGTACCACTTTAATATTCAGAGTTGGTGATGCTGCTCTGTCTTAATGGTTTTTAAAAACTTTGTATCTCCTTATTCATTTTGTAATCTTTGTGCTTGTTAAAGGTACTTATTTTTTAAATGATGGAGATATTGAACATAGCCTTGGTCATATTCCCTTAGAACTGACATTCATTTCAGGGTCATTTGATATTTCTGGTAGGTGGAATTCTGATGCTATTCCAGTTATCTGAAGTATGTTTATGATGCCTCCTTTTTTTATAATCTATAGGTAAAGTATCTTTCCATGGAAAAGTACCTTGATTTCATGAGTGTGTTTTCAAAGGCTGACTCCCGCCTTGGAACACGTAACTTGAAGGGTTCATGTTCACAAGGATTGAGCACGTGGTTATTTCCTTTAAATGAGCTTATTTCTTGGTTTACTAGTAACATTGTTAGATGGCAGTGTGCTGGTAAGGGCCAGTATTACAAATTTCCCCCTATTTTAGCAAGTGTCATTTAAAAATATTATCTACGAGGAGCTCTTTGCATGTTCAAATAAGTGATATTTTACCAGCTGTGCGTTTGACTGCCCCCATTCCCATTATCTCCCCATATTAGCAAGAAGGAAATTTCCAATTGTTAGTAATTTCAGTTACTTTTTTTATTACTCTCTTCCTGTCTCTTTTTGGAATTAAGACAATAGAGTAATTTTATTTTTGCATTTATGGATTGCATTGTCCACTTGCAAACTAATTAGAAAAGCATTTTCTTTCTGAGAACTGTGGTACTTTAATCTGAACTGTAAGTAGGACTTGCTTTGTCGTTTTGTCTCTTCACTCTCATTTTATCTATCATGTGAACAGTGTACTGTTCCTGTCCACTCTTATTTTATCTAGCATGTAAATGGTATGCTGCTCCTGTTTCTGTTTTAGATGGTTTGACATCGGCTGCTTGGTGGTTGAAGACCCTGTGCATGGCATCCGCCTGGAAGCCTTTACTCAAGCCACACCAGTGCCTTTGGAATTTGTGCAGCAGGTTGGTCTCTTGCCTTTTCATGACACTCCAGATTCATTGTGAGTGTCATGCCCTTGATTTTGACTTTCCGTTGGCTGTGCCTGTGGGTTTCCTGATTCTGCCATGTTGATGTTTCCCTTCTTTATGTTCGTGGCCCTGACATCAGAATAGAATTGGCCTTTAAATCTGTTACCCATGCTCTTTGCACTTTCATCTCCCTGTATTGGTCTGTAGTTGTCTTGGTGTGGATGCAGGTGCAGAAGTGTGTGCATGTATGGGAACCAGAGGACAGACAGCCTCAGGTGCCACTCCTCAAGTCTCTCATAGAGCTGAAACTCGGCAGTTGGTGAGGCTGGCTGGCTAGTTAATTGTCTCAGGAATCCTCCTGTCTCCACTTACCTTGCACTGGGATTTCAGGCAGGTGCTTTCACATTTGGCTTTTCCTAAGTGGTGCTTGGATCCTTGTCTTAAATGGTAGTCATTTTACCAATTGAGCCATGTCCCCAGCCCCTGTTTATCTTGTCTTTATTCCTATTATTTTATCTAGTTCCCATCTCTTTGATCTAATCATCTTTTTTAGTTGTTCATTTTAGTAACAAGTCAGTATTTAAAAAGTTAAATGAAAACTGGTGTGACGGTGCACACCTTTTAATCCCAACACTTGGGAAGCAGAGGCTGGTGGATCTCTGTGAGCTTCAGACCAGCCTGACCTACAAAGCAAATTTCAGGTCAGTCAGGGCTACACAGTGAAACCTTATCTCAAAACACCAAAATAACAAACAAAATTTAAATGAGTGCTGGAGAATTGACTCAGTGGTTAAGAACACTGGCTGCTCTTTCAGAGGACCCTGGTTCAATTCCCAGCACTCACATGGCAGCTCAGACTGTCTGTAACTCCAGTTCCAGGGAATCCAACGCCCTCTGCAGACACAATTGTGCATGTGGTACACCAACATACATGCAGGCAAAATAGCCACACACATAAAATAAAGTCAACAAACAGTACTGGATAGAAATTTGTCTTTAAAACAAATAAAAGAAATTTGTCTTTAGATTTGCTGACTGAAAAATGGACCTAATGATGTGCCCAAGGACAGTTTCCAATCTGATTCACACTTATGCATATTTTATGTAAATGTTCTCTTAATTCTCTAATGCACAAAATGTAATGTGCCTGTTATCAGGATCTCTCTATGGTTAACTGGTTAACTGATAGTTGCTGCCTCCCCCCTTTTTACAATTATTTGGAGTGTATGGACATTTGACAATATGGGAAGACATTTGGCATTCTCTGAGAAGATGCATGTGCAGTTACATTTCAATTAAAAGTGTGGCCATAAAGTTGCTAAAGGGGCTAGTGGTCCTTCTGTATGTTTGCAGTATGGAAAGATGCTTGGAGTTTTGATATTTTTCTGGCACTATTTATACCTAAGTTCTCTTCAGAAGGTCAGGCAAACCCTCCTATAGCTCTTAAGTGTGGACAGTCAGAGGCTTTAAGCTGATGCTGTGCATATTGTTATGCCAATAAGACTTAAAATGGATATATCATGACAGGTTTTCTAGGAAGATAGAAGTTTTACCACTGTTGATTCAAAAGTATTAGACCTAACCATATAGAATTGCTGTCTTTAATAGCTGAAGAGTCACTGCTGTGTTTCTTGTGATTTGGCCTAATCACTTCCATTAGCCCTACAGGGAAAGTGCGCCACCCAGCAATTAATCACTGACTAAAATGTCTTGAGTGAGATGATGGCAAAACAGTGGAGGAGCACATGTGCAGTGGCAGTGAGGCAGCAGAACGCTGTGCTGTGCAGCCCCTTCCGTAAGGCCTCACCCAAACTGCTCAGAGCAGGAGTCAGACTCACTGTTAACCCCACCAAGCCCAGAATACCTCCGAGCACTGTGTCCTGACCCCAGAGCTGAAGATGGGTTTACAAAGCAGCTGTGTAGTTACATGAACAGACTAAAGAAGAAAAGGGCTTCAGCAGTGTTAAGGGACTTACTCTAAGTAACTAACTTGCAGCCGGAGAGTCCTAATCAGGATTAGGGGTATATGTGTGGACTGGAAAGTCTGTTGAAGAGCAGCAGCAGAACTGTTTAAGGTAGCTTCTATCTCTGAATTGTAGATGGTGAGTAGATACAGGTTAAGCACACAGTGACCCCATGGCCAGTTCTGACCTATTGCCCATTTTTATTATATTTTTCTTGCATGTACCTGCTGATCTACTTATAAACTGTTTATATATAATTGCTTTCTTACCAAAAGGACAAAGGAGGAGTTTTGGTGAAGACTGGCTTCAAAACCTAAAATCTTACTGTTCAGCCTGTTTCAAAAAGGGTTTGTTGGCCCCTGTGCTGGATGTTTGACCACTTTTAATTTTAATTTGGTTTTAGGATTAGTTAGTTGGACTTGCTGCTCTAACAGTGAAATAGGCCCATGTGTACACATGCAGCTAAGTGTTAACACTCAGGGTCAGAGAGCACATTGGTTATTGTGGCCCCTCACTAACTGAAATTCACACACTTTAGAGGCATGCAGATGAGTGGACAAGGCCTGTGGAGGTGCAGCAATCACAGATACAGTTAACTGAAAGCTGCTGTTTAAACCTCAGAATCTGCCTTTTGTTCTGTTCATTTTTGTTGTGTGGGTTCAAAATTCCCAAGATAAACGGTTATGTGCACTGAAATATCTTTGTTTCTAGATGTTCACATTTCTGTTTTTTTTTTTCCCAACATAATAGTTTTTATTGATTATTTGGGAATTTCACACAGTGTGCCCTGATCACACTTGTTTTTTCAAACAGGGTTTTTCTTAACAGTGTCAGGTCACTGAGAAGTATGGCCCAGCATCACAGGCATCACATAGACATTTGACTTAACAAACAAACAAACAATTAAAAAGCTTCTCAACCCCTGTGCTGAGCTACTGAGTCAGGACCTGCACTGTAGCAAGACTCCCATGGACTTGTGTGGTGTGTGAGGATCAGGCTCCCATGGATTTGTGTGCAAGGAGCAGGCTCCTGGGGACTTGTGTGGTGTGTGAAGGGCAGGTTCCCAGGAGCCTGTTTGAAGACCTGATGTCTCTTTTGAAGCCTCTGTCAGGGTTTCTGGGAAGCTATTTCATGCAACTCTTGTCTGTTTGTTTTGGAATAAGCTGTAGTGCTTCCAATTTAGCTGTCCTAAGACTACTCCTTTGAGCCTAAGAAGGAGGTTTTTTTTTTTTTCAAGGTGAAAAGAAAGCCCCTCTGGTGATTGTGAAGAAGCTAGTTGGGGATCTGTGTACAGATCCTGTCTTAAGTGGACTAAAGACTCAATGTGCAGTCTCTGAGCTGGGAATTTTGTGACTCTAAGAATATCATTTTAACACAAACCTATTATTGACATGGTATGACCCTGAATGTAGAGCTAGAGGTTAAGCCCTTAGAGTGAGTTGTGAGCATGTGGAATTCTTTCAAGACTTAGATGTGTACTCAGCCTTGTGTTTCAACCTCAGCACCACTAAAACTATAAATTATGAGGAGACTAGATTATATTTGAATAGTGTGATGGGCTCTTATTAACACAGTAGGTGTGTGCAATATTGTTTGGTTCCTTTGACCCTTGTAACTTTATACAGTTGTTGGTAGCAGAGCTGAGTTTTTGAGGGTTTGTCATAATCTATATTAAAAATAAGCTGAGTCAAGATGTTGAGGTGTCATTTTTAACATATTGAGTTCCAGTGTTGTTTTGATATGTGACAAGTAACTCACGTTCCTTTTTCCATAGGCACAAAGCCTGACCCCCCAGGACTACAATCTGAGGTGGTCAGGCCTTTTGGTGACAGTGGGTGAAGTCCTGGAAAAGAGCTTACTAAACGTCAGCCGGACTGATTGGCACCTTGCTTTCACTGGCATGTCTCGCCGACAGATGATCTACAGTGCAGATAAAGCTGTGGCAGGAGGCTGTGGCAGGCATGTACAAGCATGGCCTGCCACCCAGGCCCATGTGAAACCAGCTGCTGTGAAATGGAGACCTGCTGTCACCTTTGGCTCTGTGTTAGAGGAGACTGGATAGCTTCAGAGAATCCAACAGCTTTTACAATTTTCCTACAGGCTGCAGTCCTTTTATCCTTTTAAAAGAGATTTTTTTTTTTTTAAATAAAGGCACAGTGTCATTCCAGTAAAACAAAAGAAGTAGGTCCCATTTTTACTGTCATGATTTCATAATCCTAGTTCTCAAAAAATATACACATAAATTTACAATACAATTCAGTATACTAAACTTATAAAGTGGAAATCCTTGTTCATATATTCGATGATTGTTCTTGGCTCTTCTGGTTTCTTAAGAATATGTAATGAGGTCTGTGTATTAAGTGGATTGCTAAGGCTTGTTTCCTGTTGTCATCTGTGTGTGCACATGATCTCAGGTTTGATGGTGAGCAGTGCACATGCTCAACAATGGACGATCTACTACATGCTTGCTGTGTGTGTGTGTGTGTGTGTGTGTGTGTGTGTGTGTGTGTGT